TTTTTAAAAAAAATTTTTTTAAATTTTTTTCTTTTTTAAAAATTTTTTGTGGGGGGTTTTGGAAAAAAAAAAAAAAAAAAAAAAAAAAAAAAAGATAATGTAGCTAAACCTCTTATCCAGAGAAGGTTGAGCTCTTGACCAAGCACTTTCATTTATGTTTACCTCATTCTTTGAAACAACACTGTGACAGATTGACATCCATTAACAAAAAGATATTAGTCCCTTCATAATGGATAAAAACAGTTAAGGTGTGTTTTACTTTTATCCTCAAAGCCTGTGTCTAGTTTCAGTATGCAACTGGTGCCGCTTGGATTACTTAGACATCAAGGCTGATAAAACAACACCTGCAGTTGTGTTTGACACAGATTCTTCATATTTGATCTTTTTACGGATAAATGTATTTTTACAACACAGTATGTAACACCACATAGCAGTGCCCTGTAAAAATATTTATAACCTTTAAACGTCTTCACATTTTATCACTTTACAACTTTAATGTATTTCAGTTTGATTTTGTTTGATAGAGAGACAAATTTGTATGGGAAGCAGACAATATACATATACATATACATATATATATATATATATATATATATATATATATATATTGCAAATTAAAATCTAAAAAGTGTGGCAGTACCCAGTACAAATGGTTGTGTACAGCAGTCATCTACTTAGTAAATAATCCCCCTTGTGTTATTTAATCTTAGTTAAGCAAAAGTTCATTAGAGAACATTAGTGAACAAACAGCATCATGCAGACCAAGGAACAAACCATGAAGCTCAGGGAGAATATTTTAGTGGTTCACAGCCAAATTAGATTTTAAAGTTAAGTTCAAAGTATCGAATGTCTCAAGGTCAGCGGATAAATACAGAAACATTCCACACATTTCAAATTATTATTACTAAATGATTTTGATTTGTAGTTGTGACTAAATGTGAACAAGATCAAGGCTATAGATACTTTCTACAAGGCACTGCAGAGACTTTTATATTTTAAATATTGAAAACTTATTTTCCATTGCATCATCTCTTTCTTTCTTTTTAGAAAATGTAAAACTAGTAACAGATGTTTAAATGTTTTTGTTTTTTCAACTGGTTTACTTGTTTTTTTTTAATATCTGCATTTTCTCATGTAGTGTCAGAGGAACCTTAGACCCAAAAAAAGAAGAGATAAAAGAAATGTTATCAGATATTCTGTGGTTGATTTTTGTTGCCATCACACGTCATAATTTCGATTCACATCATTTGCTGCTGCAAAAATG